TATATATATATAAGCTATTAAACATAATAACATTTGATACATTAATAATTTTTTTCTACGTAGTTGATTGTTTCTTTTATGTTAGGCATCTAAAAGCTATGGAAATTATGTCTCGTCATCATTCAGCAATATGTTCTGCGATAACTGTTTAAAAATAGCATTTATAAATCAACAAGTCAATATATGAATATAATTAAATGTATTAAGTTATTAGTATTTAATATTATTGAATTAGAAGACTTATTTTCATTATATGTAAATGAAAATAAAAAAGAACGAAATACAATGCTCGATTAATAATAATGCTATATGAAATTGGCCACTATACCTTACACTTTCCACAGGAAGATTTCGAGAAAAAATCAACAGGTACTACGCAGGTTCTCCAACGACGTAAAATGAACTATCGATTATACGCAGTTCTGGAATGTGTCATTTAAATTTATCGCACTTCTAGTCAATATAAAAACTAATTGTAAACAAATAGTCCGATTCAAAATAAAATTAATTAATTCATATGTAACTATAATTTAACTTTTTCATACAAATTAATTTTAATTTTAAGTAAGAGATAAATTAAAAGATAAATTATAGTAAATTATTGAAAATAAAATACATATATGCTTAATTAAAATAAAAAAATAATTAAATAATTGAAAATAAAGTAAGTAATTATTGAAAATATTGTAAATATTGAAAATAAAATACATATGCTTAATTAAAATAAAAAAATAATTGCCATATTTATAAAAATAATATACAATTTATAAATAAAATAAATTTTAGAATCATGTGATACAACAATACCATATAATACAACAATAATATACATGTAATATGATACCATATAATACAACAATAATATACATGAATATGATACAACATGTTATTTGTCAAAAATTATATTTGGAAATTTATTTTTACTTTTATTTATACGAAAGAAAAAAATTTAAGGTATATTTTCAAATATTAATTTTTACTTTTAATTGTAAATTAAAAAATTCGAAAGATATTTTTTCAAAACTATTATACAAATTTATTATTTTTAACTTACTTTTAAGATAAAAGTCTAAGATAAGATAAAAGCAACGTTTATAATTTCTCTTAGTCAACAAATTACATTAAAAAATTATAAAACCAATTTTTATTGTTCTACAAGTGCAATTTATTATATGGAATATAAATTTTGGTAAATTCATTCCACAATGCAATTACAACACATAATTGAGAAATGAAGATAACCTTAAAAGATTTTAAGACAAGTAATTTACTTCTTAATTAACGGCATGTACATGTATTGTTAGTATTAAAATATTGTAAAATGATGGGAAAACAAAAACTCTTTTTGAATTTAACAAAAAATAGGAAGATTACTGTCTTTTTTGAGAAATGTTTCTCAAATGCTATTGCAACTAATAACAATGAGAAAACGACACATTTCGGATATAAAACTATCAAAGAAAACGATAAAGTAAAAGAAGGTAGGTTTTATAGTTTATCTGGATAATTTTTTCATTTTTTTTTTTTTGCTATATTATAGTCAATTGCATATTAACGATATTGTATATAAATATACAAAGATTCAAAATATAATAAAGTTTATATAATTTTAGTTTCATGAAACATAGTTTTATTGAACTAATAAATGAAATAACAATGTATATGAATTTTAAAATTTTTTCATATCATTTTTAATCCTATTTTTGTAATGTAAAATTTATCATTTTTTAGTGTATACAGTTTTTGAGAAAGTGGCAAATTCTTATGATAAAATGAATGATGCTATGAGTTTTGGAATTCATCGTATTTGGAAAGATATATTCATTCAAAAGTTCGGGCCAACTCATGGTAGCAAATTATTAGATTCAGCGGGTGGCACAGGAGATATTGCATTTCGATATTTAAATTATTTAAAGAATATTCCTAATCACCAAGGTGTAAAGAGTTCTGTGACAGTTTGTGATATAAATGAGAATATGTTAGAAGTTGGTAAAGTAAGAGCAAAAAAATTAGGATGGGTAGATCAAAATGACTTTGATATTGATTGGATGCAATGTGATGCAGAAAAACTTCCTTTTGAAGATGATTCATATGATGCTTATACAATAGCTTTCGGAATAAGAAATGTAACACATATTGAAAAGGTAAATTAATCTTATAAAATTTTAATTAAATTAATATTGAATTTGAAAGATATATTCTTCTGTAAGTGCAGTTTGTATTAATACTAAGTTTGCGAATGAAAATCTCAAGCATAAATATATTAATTAAATTCTATAAAAGTTTATTTTTTATAATGGAAAAATAATATTATAGGTACTTTCTGAAGCATATAGGGTACTTACACCAGGTGGTTGTTTCATGTGTTTAGAATTCAGTCATGTAGATAATAATATTCTAAAATGGTAACTAGTTAATCTTGAGATAAACTAAATATTATTTAAATTGGATAGTTATACATTATAAAAAAAAATGTTTAGGTTCTATGATCAGTATTCATTTCAAATAATACCTGTATTGGGTACACTCATAGCAGGGGAATGGCAACCTTATCAATATCTTGTTGAGAGTATTAGAAAATTTCCAAAACAAGAAGAATTTAAAGTAAGTAATACAATATGATAATAATGTGATATTTATATATAAATTAGATATAAGAAATATATTTGATTTTTAAATATTATTTTAGCAACTGATTGAAGCAGCAGGTTTCAGAAATGTAACACATGAAAATTTAACTTGTGGAATAGTAGCTATTCATTCAGGTTTTAAATTATAATAGTGTTATTTAATAATAAATGTATAAATGTTATTTAATAATAATAATAATAATAATAATAAGTGTATTAAATAATAAATTACTTATATTTTTTATTATATCAAAAAATTTAGTAAAAATAAATTTATCATATTGTTACATTTATTACTCGCAAGATGAATCATTTATTACATATAACATTCACTGAATTACTAAAAATAAATTATAATTTAAGTGTTATTTTTAAGTAAAAAATTTTTTATTTGTCTATCTATTATTTCTTTCTGTTCTTGACTTAAATCAATGATTTCAATTACTGTTGGCTTTTTATTTATATTTAATTCTAATTTCAAGAGTGCATCTAAAGTTTTCATCTTTTGTTCTGCACTACGAAAACTCTGAAATATTTATATATTTTTTATGAAATATAAAATACAATGAAAATATAATAAGTATAAATAATACAAATATTCAAAAATATCAAATAATAAATCAAAATACCATTCTAAGTTCATGCTCAATTTCTGGGTTTTTCTTTAATTTCTTTTTTAATGAGAATTCTTGAACACTGAAACCTATTAAATTTTCTAGAACCTAAAATTATAAAAATTGTAATTATTTAAAATATATTAAATTTTCTAATAAATTATTTATTTTAAATAAATTATAATTCAACACCTTATTTGAGAAAGAAACTTCTATTGTTCCAGTATTATCTGCTACTACAGCTTCCAAAATCCACAATGAATCTTTCTTTGTTAATTTTCCAACAACTTCAACATAACCTCGAATTGTTCTAAAAATAGTTTCGGTGACTGTTTCATTATTTATATCGCGTATAAATTCACAAATTTTTGGTTCTTCTGGAGTATTTATTACTTTTGTAAATTCTGTAATCCGTCTATTTATTTTACTCTTTTTCAAAGGTACTATTTCGGAAGGAGAAATTGGAACCTGAAATTGGAAAAATTATGTAACTAAAATACTAATTTACAAAATAAAAAGTTATAGTTTGTATTTCTTAGCAAAATAAAATCCATTACACTTCTTTTTTCGCCAGTTAACAAAGATTGTGGCTTTTCTTCTAATTTTGAACGAGAAATTGATGAATCTGATTTATTAGTAAACAATTTAGAATTTTTTTTCTCAATTTTTCTAGAAACATTGTATTTGACATCTGTTACTTCCTCGTCATTTATTATAATAATATCATGGTTTCCTTCTTTTGGCAAAGTTCTAAAAGGTGTTGCGATATTTTTTTGTTCTATTTGTGTTTCTATAAGTTGTCCTTCATCAATCTATAATAAAATTTTTTTGTTAAAACATTGATTAAATTTAAATTTTATATTATAAATTTTTGTAATAATTTCAGTTCTTAATAAAATAAAACATTAAAATAACCATTTCTAAAAGACAATCGTCATCGTCCAAGATTTTTTCATTTTCATAATTAACTATTTTAATTTCAGTGTTAGCGTTTTTAATTTCTGTTTGAAAAAAATCATCATCAATAAACATTTTTTCATTTTTATGATCTTGAACTGTTTTAATTTCAGTGTTAATTTTTGTCTTAATTTCTGTTTCAGTAGAACCTTTTTTATTGTCTTTTTTATGGGAATCTTCAATTTTAGAAACATCTTCAAGATTTATCTCAAAGTCTTCTTCAAAAAAGCTATCATCTATTTGTGATTGTTCATGTTTAATGACATTTGACTTAGTGTCATTATCATTATAGGGGTCAGGATTCTCTGGAAGATTTCTGCAAATAATAAATATACATATATAAAAATCATTATCAAGATTTTCCAAAAATATAATTGAATATTTAATTTATTCCAATTTGTTTATTTCATAACTTGCTTCTGTTTTATTGCTTCTTTTGAATTTTTAATAATAATTTAAACTCACAGAGCTCTGGCTAAAACATTTTCCAATGCATTAGGTATTAATAAACTATCTACTTCACCACCAATTCCTTTTAGTTTCCCTTTTTCTAATAACAGTACACCTTTGTGACATTTCACTGGGCCCATTATCATAACTTTATACCCTGGTAATAACGTATCCTTAAAAAGAATGTGATAGTACTTTACAACAGTATCATTTTTTAAAAATATCTTTTAATTTATGTTTTTAGTAAAGAGAACTAATAGTATTATTTTAACCTAATCAGATGTTTATTATTGAAAAAATATAACATCAACGTACATTTAGTTGAGGTATATAATTATATTCAATTCCAATTACATCTTGCAACCCATCTGTTAATCGTAATTGCATCATTCTTTTTTTAGGAGGTTCCCATTTTTCCATTTTTTCTGCTTCAGATAATTCTACTTCTGAGATATGAGTGTTTCTAATTTGTTCTAATTGTTTATATTTTGACATTGCAATATCATACATTTGTTCTACCTAGAGTATTATAATAAAAATAAATAATTTTTTTATTTACATAACTATATAAATACATATGTTGTATACCTGAAGAATGTAGTTCTCATTTAATACAATACATTTTTGTTCTGAAAGATTGTGTGGTAAACTTCCATTCTCATTATTAATTACACGTAAATCACTAAGTTGCCATTGTGCCTTTACAAATTCTAAAATTTCTTGTGAACTTGACTGAAAATAGAATTAATTCTGATAAAATATATTATAAAAACTTATAATATGGGTATTTATTCAAGTTTTATTTTAATAATTGTACTTTAAAATTTAAAATATGCTTCAAGCACATTACAGAATTGTACAAATATTTGAAGTCAGATATGTTTAAATATATATTTAAAATTATATTTACATTTTTATGCTGGTCTACATAAAACTCTATACAATCTCTCAACCATTCATTATTCATTGAATAACATTCTGATTTTAATTTACTTTTTATTTGTCTAAATATGTTTTCATTCATATTTGACACTGTATTTATATAAAATTATAGTATAGTCTAAATCTTTGATGAATGACCAGTAGAATACTTTAATTCCGAGTCTTTTTTAATATTTATTTTGACATTTTTATCACAATATGTAAACAATTTCCTTTGTTGTTTGAATATATACACAATATATATCTATAGAAATTAAGCAATGATTATAGAAGTAAGTTTTCAAAGTACGATTATTTAATAAGAGAAATCTTATTGCTCTTGCTTTTACTATTACTTAAAAAGATAATATAAATTATAATTTTAACATATTTAAACCAAGCTTTAAACAGAGACACATGTCAACTGTGAGGTTATGTATAAAAGCGTTAATTCCTGTAATTACAGTATTCAAATTATTTAAACGATAGGAAACAATATTTTATTTATTTATATATGTATTTGTATCAAATGACATTTTTTATCTAATAAAATAAAATAAATAAAATATATACTAATTAATATATCTTTTGTTTAATAGTTTACAACTTTTATATATAATATTATATGAAATAATTATTATGACAATTTTCAATTTATAAAACACTAATAAAGATTAATCTTTTTTTAAGATTCATAAAAAAAGTAGAAGAATATTTCTGTTTATAAAACAAAAATTATGTTTAATATTACTTTATAGATGTACTAATAATAAATTACTTTATGATTTAAAGAACTTTTATATAAATTCTTCTATTATTCTATATAAATTCAAATTAATTAATGACATAGTGTACAAAGTATAATTTTAATATCAATATAAATTTGTGTAAATGTAATAGAGAATGTAATTCAGTAAAAATATTTTTCATTAACACAGTAACAACTTATTCTTTAACTATTTTTTTATCAATACAATAACAATAAAAGAACGTGTAACGAGAATTTCCGAAAGATACATTATATGTTTCAGATAATATGTATGTTATATATATCTTTTAAATCATAGTTAGAATTATTATAGCCATTATGATCATTATAATTATAATAATAATACTTTTAGTTATATTCAGTCATTGATATTGATATATACATATATAATTAATTTTTTTATTTATTTTATCACAAGTAACATTTTATCACAAGTTATGTTCAACATTATTATTATCATAATTTTGTTATTTCACAATGATTTCCATCCCTACAAAACCAATTCACTCAAGCCTATTTTTAGTCTTTCAAACATACATTTTTGCTAACAACCCTAGTGGGGGTGAGTTACCCTCAGTGGGGGATCAAATTTAGAGGGGGAAGCCAGCCGTCAGGGCAACGCATGCCTTCTGATGTTTCAGTAGGCCGCGCGAGCTGATGCCGTGAAAATGTTGTAAGGTGGTCATTCCTCCTTCTTTCTCTTTTTATATCATTCGGTCTGTTTCTTTTTCATCCAATATTCTCGTGCGTGATTCAATTCATAATTGTGCGATACATTGTTACGGATGAATACATGTCAATATAAATGTGTATCTTAAGGTATGTATGTCATGTAAAACGATAAAATGTATATATGTGTGTAATGTATGTATGTCGGGTATATTAGTTAACGTGCAATCATAAATGGAAGATAGTTGTTTAATACTGTAGAACATATCGGATTTAAAATTCACTTACTTTTAACAAAAAGTTAAAAGTCCCAAAAGAGAGAAGAGGAATGTGATAGGTTCCCATTCGTTGCGATTAATGTTGTAGTATGTGCTTTGATTAATTCAATATTTTAACGAATAATTACTTATTCAACGGAGCGTAAATATCGAATGTGTACTAAAGTGACTACTGTCGTGTAAGATCACATAAATTGCTTAAATTGAACAGCTCAAATAAATTTACATGAATTAATAGAAATAATTGATTGATATTTTCTATTATTAATATGTTCCGAATGTATCGATTACATAAAAATCGAGCACATCAACTAGTCAATTGTTTAGTTTTCAATTGATTTTATTTATTGCTTAAAACATTTCTTCATACTTTTTATACGTTTCAATGAAAATAAGTATATATGCATATATACGCGCGTATATATGCATACGTAAAGGCACATGCATATAGGTATGTGGAACGTACGTACATGTAATATTATACCTAGGTACAAATAGGATCTTTTTTAAAAGCATGTAACCGCCAAAATTGAGATTTTAGTCGTGGTTGTAAATCGGTTGATTCATGATGACTGTCTGACATACGGTCGTGATTTTTTTGAGTTATTGATTATCGAATACCCGTGTAACAAACTAAGCGTTTCTGGAATATTGCACGCCACCGTTCTTCGCCTACAGTTTTTGCCTTCTCTACGTGTACATTTCGCAAAAGCTTTCTGAACAGCAATTATTTAAAAGAGGAAGAAAAAAAAAGGCCGGATCTTCCATTCCTTTTTCTTTTCTTTCTTTCCTCCATCCTCTTTTGTCCTTTTAACTGCCATGAATCAGGGAGAGACAATTTTTTCATGGCATTTCCAAAGCACGAAATGTCAAAAGATGAGGTTATATTGAACATTGAAGACGCGAATTTGATTAACGTATTGAAAGCATGAAATCCCATTATCCTTATTCGAAACAATATGTTCTGTTATTTCTTCGAATGTGAAACCGAATGTAAAATCGTGTTTGACAAGTATCAGCTAAAATGACGCGATATTGCTTTTCAAATTTTTCTCTCTCTGTCTCTCTGCGTACATTTATTTACATATTTGTTTCGTCGCGAACATAATGTAATATGGGCTCAGGCAGTGCATAGCACGCACAACATAAAAGAAATAAAATTTATGACGTACATGGCAACATGTTGAAAAGACACAGATAGTTGCTGTAATGGTATTTTAATATAAGTATTCTCGCGTGATGACATTTTAAATCATCGGGAGCGTTGCACTTTGGAAGACTTGAAATTTCGACGTCTTATGTGATAGAAAATATAGATAGTAAATTTTAATGAAAAATATATCCTGCGTTTTAAACAATGTATTTTTTTTTTTCTTTTTTGGGATCCTAATAAATTTCCATATTTTGTGCACTTTAACATGTATCAAATTTCAGTGAGAAAGAAGTGGAACGGCTTGAATAAAGTATACCAAATTCTAGCGAACTCTCTGAGTTTCAATAGTTACAATAGTATATTAAATTTCAGTGAGAAAAATAGAATATTTTAGATATTGTGAAATGAAACGAATTCTAAGTCGTAGCGAGGTATATTACATTCTGATAAAAGAATGTCCTAATTGTTTCATTGTTCAAATTTGCTAAAGTATCTATTTTCAATTGCGATCACTCTTAAGGTAACTATACTTAACTATATTTTGCTAAGCAATAACATTCTTGAACGAATGTATTCTCGTGTACAGATCAAGTTGCGAAATGTTGAATATTGTTAAATATTTTTTTTTGGCATTTCCAAGTTCGACAATAACAAAAGTGATTTAAACGGTATATAGAATTTTATTAGAAATAAGACTTATCAAATGTGTCATTATTGTAATTTTTAATATATAAATTAATTAATATATCTAATTGGAAAACAAGAAGTATCCCAAGAGATGTAGAAGAATTTAGGTTAGGTAACTTCGTTTTATTTTAGAGAAATAGAGAGAAGGTTACCTCGAGCATATAGAAATAAAAGAGGAATTTCAAAAATAAAAGAATGCAGTTTATCAGTATGTAAAATTATCAGTCGATTCAATTTCCTGAATGTTATTGAAATACTTATGAAAAATAAATTATGAAATTATTCTAAACTGATTTTTCTGATTGACTAGTCATTTCTTTTACTTTTACTTTTTAATCGTATAAACAGTAAATTCTGACATTTGATAATTAAGCTTCTTCTCTTGTTCAAGTAAAGTTTTAATTAACGATATTGATTGTGTTAGACGAGGAAAAATGAAAAAGGGAATTAAGTTGTTGAAATTACCAAACAGTTCGTTACGAGCATTCGTAATTGAGACAGGGTTTTCACGTTTTCCTTTTTTTTTTACAACTCTTAGTTTGCGGTAGTAATTTAATTCAAGTGCTCTTTATGCGTGTGCGTGCGTACACATGTGAATGGCTGCATTTGTCGTGTAAATATCTGAAGTGTTTCTAAATTTATATACGTATAAAACGTACAGTTCAAATTTTTGAGATAACGTGAAATGATGCAGACTAGCTATTAATAGACAGCCAATGATTTTAAAGAAATTATTAGACGTTCAATGAATATTATACATACATCATATTGGAAATATTTTAGTTAAGAAATTTATATATATATACCACTGCTCGTAATCATAAAACCGGAAAAAGGTTAATTTTTTTTAAATGATTTAATTAAATCTATCATCTTTTACGAACTAGTTGAAAATAAAAAATTGTAACGCGAAAGTCGAGATATTTCAATAATAAACATATATTTTTTAGATTTAAGTCATTTATCGTAGTCACTGATGTATATTCGT